TATTATATATATATATATATATGTATATATATATATATATGTATGTATGTATATATGTATATATATATATGTGTGTGTATATATAAAGCATACTATATATGTGTGTGTGTTTGTATAAATATATATACTAGTAAGAACATATATAAATAAGGATTGTTTGAAAATATGTATGTGTGCATCTATGTATAGTATTACATAAACATTCTTTTTCGGTATCCAGAATTGCATCTCACAAGAAAATTGACAATGTTTTAAAGTCACATAGCCTGATACTTCAATGGGTCAGCATATTCTTCTGATATTCGTATACCTCCCTTAAACAAAATACAGTTACTGATGTGGAGCAATCGTCCGATGTTTCAAGTGAAGCCAGTGACCTCAATGACAGTGAGAATATCACTGACAGTATCGATATGACTGACAGTATAGATCCCACTGTCAGCTTGGGCGTCACTGATAGCATGGATGCAACAGACAGCATGCAAATGACTGACGACATCGGAAGTACCGAGGCGGTAAACGAAAGTGCATTGAGTGCTGATGCCAGTACAGCAGAGGTCATGGAGGTTGGCAGTGGGCTCGCTGCTGCCACAGACTTAGCATCAAACCTAGCATCAGATACATCGGATATGGGAGCGTCAAGTGGTGATGCAGGTGCCAGTGCACCTACCGCAAGTGACGACACTTCTCCAGAAAGTGCCAGCGCGGCTGCTCCAAGTGAAAGTGTTTCTGATGCAACTATGGATGATGGCTCGCGGGATATCTCCGACGGTGCAGATGATGGTGTATCAGCCTTAGCCAGTGAACTTGAATCAATGGCAACAGATGCTGTGGATTTCGCTTCAGATGCATCAGAAGCCGCTGACAATGCTGCTTCGGCCGCGAGCGAAGCGGCAGCCGGTGACTCCGCAACTACTGCAAACCCTACAGTTACAATAAATTCGGCAACCGACGTCACTACTTCAACGGACGATGCTGCTGCAACAGGCGCTGGTGTTAGTGACAATGCCGGTGCAGTCGCATCGGATGTCGCAAGTGACATCGTCTCAGACGTTGCCAGTTTAGATGGCTCAAACGTAGGTACCGACGAAACCTCAGACGCAGGATCAGAATCAGCTCAGGCTACGGACGACTCCCCGAATATCCCTGGACGTATTCCCGGAGGTGTGGACGGTGGGGTATCATCTCTCGCCAGCGAAGCTGAGTCTGTAGCAACTGACGCTGTGGACGGCGAGACAGATGCTTCCGCTGCCGCGAGCGATGCCGCCTCGGCGGCTAGCAGTGCAACAGGGGCAGCGAGTGACGCAATTGAAATGGCAACTGAAGCTATTGGTGTGGGCGCGTCCGTCGATTCAACAGAACAGGCTGCTGCAACAGGCGAGAGTGACGGTGCTGCTGCCAGTGATGATGCGACAGATGTGGCTGGGGAGAGTGCCAGCGCACCTGTCGCAAGTGGCGCTGCTAGCGAAGAAACTAGCGACGACGCAGTTGCACCTGTCGCAAGCGTTGCTGCTTCTGAATCGGCTTCTGCTGAGCCCACGGATGACATTCGAGATATTACAGATGGCGCAGATGATGATTTAACTGCCTTAGCCAGTCAGGCAGAGTCAGAAGCAACGGACGCTGCAGAGGCAGCAACAGATGCAGTTGCTGCCGCTAGCGATGCCGTCTCGGCAGCTGAAATTGCAACAGTGGCAGCGAGCGAAGCTATTGAACTAATAACTGAAGCCAGTGCACCTGCCGCAAGTCAGGATGCCTCAGATGCTGCCAGTATCGATATGTCAGAGGCTGCCTCCGACATAGCCTCTGATGCGGCTAGTGATAATGCGGCAAGTGCAGAACCAGCATCTGCCGAGCCCACGGACGACTCTGGAGACATACCTGGTATAATTCCTGACGGTGCAGATGCTATTATGTCCTCGCTAGCCAGCGAAGCTGAGTCGGCAGCTACTGACGCCTTGGAGAAAGCAACAGATGCCTCTGCCGCCGGTGCTTCAACAGAAGCCGTTGCTGCTACAAGCGAGGATACATCTGTCGCAGTCAGTTCCGATGCGTCCGAATCTGAAGAAGACGATGCGCCAAGTGGCGGAGTTGTATCCGCATCCGTGAGTGAGGCCATTCCTGTCTCGCTTGGTAGCGAAGGAGCTAGCGAACTTGGAGTCACTGAAGGGC